TTTCCAAGAGTAAGTGCATTGGATTCTATAACCACTGGTTTTCTTTTCGTAAGTCCTCATTTTCTCTAAATCTTTCCTTGATCTCATGATGATTTCCATCGAGGTTTAGGAAAAGACATAGGACATATTATTTGACTGTTGTAGGTCTTGTGCTTGTCATACCATGACATGTCAAAATAGTTTAAATATGAAAGCCTGCTGGCAAACTGTACAAAGTGTAACTTGACATCACAACTTTTATTTTTAAGTTAGATTCTAGATATTGACTTTAGCTTTTGTATGAGACTGCTGAAATGTCAGTATTTTTTCCGTTTTTTTAAACGGTAGTGGTTTGCAAGGGTTTTGGTGCACCTTTTAAAAACTGTCAATTGTTTGTCTTCTGTGGTGTGGAAGTCTGGGAAAAACTAAAGCGTAGTAAGGGAGGATTGGCCCACAGAGAACAAAAAAGAAATTCAAACTAGAGTCTGCATTTCAGATGGTCGTATTGGATACAATGCATGGCTGCAGAGAAAAAAAGGCAGTCCATCTACATTTGAGTTGCTATACTGTATAGTCTTGGCTTGAGTGAACACACAGCCAGCAGGTTAAGTCATTACTTAAACACCAGAACATTATAATTCCATAGCATTGACACATTCTCATATTGATATACAGAATAAAGATACATTTTCCCTTAAAATCTCACACGCAATCATATTTGGGATTTTCTCTTTTGTGTCCTCAGCTCCCTCCCCCTGAGCAAGAACCATGTCCGGTCTCCAGTGCTGCTGCTGTGGGGGGAGCGAGATGCCTTCTTCGAGCAGGAAATGGCCGAGGCATGCCGCCTCTACATCCGGAATCATTTCCGTCTCAACATCATATCTGGGGCCAGTCACTGGCTGCAGCAGGACCAGCCTGATATTGTGAACACCCTCATATGGACCTTCCTGAAGGAAGGAGAGGGACGCAAAAGCCACAGGAACTAAATCCACAGCGATGCCTCCGCGCCCCCCCCCCCCTGCCCCTCTCGCTTGCCACACCTGGCAGCCTGGAATATGCCTGTGATACCAAGCAACATAGTGATAATGCAATCATTCTTTAAATCTTTCACATTCGAGATATTTTTTAAAGACGTCAGCAGCAAAGGAAAAGAAACAAAGCACACCTCACCGGAGAGGACACTGAGCAGGACGTGTGACACATATATTCAAGATGTTTTTTGCACATGACTTCCGCCTTAAAGTTTTTCAGTTACAGCATTACAAATGTGCAGCAGAATCTCTTGTGACTTGTATTGTGTGGTGCCTTTTAACTTTGGAGTTGTAGAGATGTCCTGAGAGGCAAGGATGTGTACTTGTATGTTTCACCGGGTCGATCCACTCTTCTTTGGGCACAGTCCTTCGGGAGCCATCGCTCTCCCACTCCCTTTATCAGGTAGTGTTGTTGAAAGAAGCTTTCTTTTTTTGTATTTTTTCCTCAGAGATGCTCAAATGTAGAGAATGTTGTTATCTTGATCTTCCTGTATAGAAATGTCAGTGATGTTTGACTATTGTACTATTTTGTATCTATTCCTACACACTGCATTTTGAAATTCACAGAGCCAAGTCTACACCTTTTGATTTTATAAATAAACTAAGTGTCAATCTGTTTGACTGCACTGCCTCTCATCATTCCTGGCCTGTTTAAAGATAATAATAACAGTGGTGTGTTTGAAGCTGTGCGCTGGGCTTCATGATGCCTCCAGGTTATACACAGAAGAGATGAAGAACACCAGAAATAGTATTGTATGTGCTGTTAAATATAGCACAGAGCTGAGTAATACAGCAGTTGACGTTGGTTATTTTGGGTTTCCTCTGTAGTACAAACATTTGATATATTTTTAGATCCCTTCCTGACATTGTTGATGTAATGAAATGTTAATGTGAAATTACACTGAGATGTCTATTTATCAGTCTTACATAAACAAGTTTCAGTGCTGTTGTCAGGCGATACATAATGTCAGTTTAAAGACAGCAAAAAACAAAAAATAACTTGCCATTATACACTTTAGTCCTTTTAAGTGGCTTATTGTTCATTATTTATAATACTTCAATCCATTATTTCTCAAACGTATTGGTTTCAATGTAATTCTTAAAATTATGCCTTATTAGAAAGTTATTTTATAATTGCACCAAATGGCTCTGCAGTAGATCTTACTCTGCAACCACGCTGGACATTTGCTGTGTTTGTTTCTCTAATGCTGATTCAAACATTTACAGTTGCATTTCCACTGACAGCAACGATGCAGGAGAGGTCGATGACATCAACAACAGTCAGGGACAAGCTCTTTCGCTGCCTTCAAGGGCAGTGGGAAATATTATGTCTGGCACACATTTTTCAGGTCAGTATTTTTATGGACTATATTTTTTGTTTTTTAATAATCATTGCATGGATTGAAATGTTATTGATAAGCAATATTAGTGTTGTTTTTTTTACTTGTGATTTTGCATTATTTACATTTTTGATTTTGTTGTAGACTTGTAGTTGTAGATTGTGGTCTGTATTTTTTATAGAGTGCCGAAGTCCCTCCCTTTCCGGGGGACCTCCATGGGACCTTATTTCGGTAAAAGTATGTATTGAAGTCAATGGCGAGAGAAAGATTATCTTTCAATCCCGTTTGAATTGTGCCACGAATTACAATTACAAAGAAATAAAAATGTGTCGTAAAACTGTGAAGTAACAAACTTTGTGTGAAACCGGTCAATGAACTACATCTCCCGTCTGGCACCAACACCAAGACGGCCGTCACGTTGGCACATTTCACTTCTTTCTTTCAGAATGAGGCGAAAAGTATTAAACGAGGTGAAAATCACTCCAAGTCTGGGCATGTTGAGAGCTGTACATACACACAAGGGGAGTTAGTCGGTTCCGTAAGAGCCAGCATGCAGGACCGGGATTCTGGGATTTGTAGTCTTTCTAGTTGCGTATTTTTCATAGTCTTATATTTCAACAGTTTTACGACAAACTGTGACTTTTTTGACATGGAAATTATTTTTTAAGATTGACAAACATCATATGTGTAATTCGTGGCACAATTCAAACGGGATCGAAAGATAAGTTTTCTCTCTCCATTGACTTCAATACATACTTTTTCCGAAATAAGGTCCCATGCAGGTCCCCGGAAGGGGAGGGACTTCGCCTCTCTATAGATAAGAGTAACACCTACGTCACTTCCGGGCGAAAATTACGGCCCCGCCCACTTTTGGATGGCGGTCAATACAAATTCTGAAGTTCTTGCCAATCCGATCAGAAATGTAAGAAAACCTTGGATTTTTGGATCTTCAAAGAGCCCGATTACGATGGCCAGTCAGGCAAACAGTTACATTAAATAATTTGAAATCGACGATGGGGCTCGATATATGGTTAAATTAAAATCAGTAGGCGAGGCCGTAATTTCGCCAGCTGTTACGGACCGTCCACACAGCAGCGTTAAAAAATCTTGAAACGCTTCTGCCCATTCACTTTGAATGGGGTGACGTCACTTTCCCTCACTTTTCGCCAAACTGCATTGTGGGCAGGCGAGCGGAGATTTTCAGGATTTTCAGGATTCAAAGTTGAACAATGTTCAACTTTTGAGGCTGAGGTGGAAGCGTCAGCCAATCAAATCCCGTGTACGCAAATCTGACAGTTCAAGCTCTAGCCAATCAAACGGCGTGTATGCTGGGAGAGACATACCGCAGGTCATTTCCTCATATTCCAAAAAATGGAGGAGAAATTAGCGGTAGGGAATCACCCAGTGCTTTATGACCAGTCCCTATTTACCTACCGGGATATAAACCGGAGGAGCCAGGCATGGAGGGAGGTGGCAGAGACAGTGGTATGTTTTCGCCTGTTTGGGGAGTTTATATCCAGTTTACTTCAAACTTTTTTGCTTCGTATGTCGGGGGCGGGAGATTCATGTGATTGGTTGTTGGTGCCTTGCTCGCAAAAAATCCCCAAGCTTCAGATACGCCCACCTCCAAAAAATTTTTAACGCTGCTGTGTGGACGGTCCGTTACTCTCATGAGCGAGGTGGAAAATAATTGTTTTATCATGCCAAAAAGCTTCTGTGTCGTTTATTGCACCTCAAACATTAAAACAAATCCAGAGCTACGTTTTTCTGTACTTCCTCTAAGAAAAAAGGACAGTAAAAGAAGAGCTCTGTGGCTTCAGGCTTGATCGCCATTCAAATGACAGCGTTGGTTTCCCCCAAAAGTGGGGGATTACATAGATGTTACTCTCATCTATGGACATTGATCGCCTACTGCTATATTTAACCATATATCGAGCCTGATCTTCGATTTCCAATGATTTAATGTAATTGTCTGGATGCTCCAGAGCCACTATTTCAAGGATGCTACGTCATCAAGTCCCGCCGAAGGACTGTTCCAATGTCCAGACTCCTTGGAATTCTACCGAGCCCGGCGTCCTTCGTAGCGAGAAATTTCGAGGCTGCACATGTGTATCCTCCGCGGTCTTAAAATCCCCACAATGCTTTGCGCACGGACCAATTTCCCAAATCTTTGGCGGAAATCGCGCTCCATTTAAGGCGGGGCCTCGCATATGACGCACACCTGTTAGCCTGTTCCACCATTCTTCGTTTTCCGAGGCTAGGAAGGATTCTTGCCTCACTTCTGAAGGAAGTGACTCGGAAGACATGTCCTACCAAGGAAGCGTCCTCGACATTGAGAAACACCCCTTATCTTGTTCCAAAAAATATTCATTACATTCAAATACATTTACATATTTCAAACTTCAAACAATAGGACTACGGGTGGGTTCAGATCTAATTGCTACCCGGATGCAACAATAAAGTGTGAGGCGAGGTCTTACTCTGCGATATGAAAATAAAAACACAAGGGACCAGAAGAGTTTAATTTCAAAGTGTTATTAGAATTTCGAGGTTAGGCACAGAACCTGAAAGCATCATCTGAGGACCATGGATGTATAATACTGAGGACACGGCACCTTCCTTGTTTGCACTGCGCATGTGCCGCAGCTTCCGGGCTGTGACGGCTTGGCCGCTCCCCCGAATTGCGAGCGGTGCTCTGGAGGGCGATGGGTGGGGAGGAGAGCAGCGTGCAGCGGTGATGTCAACAACATCGGTCAGTGGGTCAGCCGACGACACGTTAATGAAGATGCTTGAGCTGGTAACCGAACCTCATACTAATAGACAATTATCTAACTCATTTGTGTCGGTTTATTTTTGTCCCCAGACATTCATGGTTTAAGGAAGATAACTAACGGTAGCCCATGTTAGCTAGCGCGAGCATGCTAGCAATGAGAGGGACATGAGAGTAATGTTATTCGGCTAACAGCACAGGCCGTGTCGGGCAGAGAAACAGCAAGTACACGTGTAAGCATAGATATTTGTGTGGGGTTTAGCCGAGTGTGGTTAAATTATTGAAACAAATGTAAAAAGAAGAGAGAAACTGGTTATAATTGGTGTTATCAGTGGTGTTTTCTCGTAAGGAAGCTGAGTAAAGCCGGTTTTCTGTTCAAAGCTATATTTGTCGATTTTCTAATTACGTTAAGGTTGAATAATATCCTTGGACACGGTGAATTTGTTTTGGGTTGTCGAGGTCATCTCTACCCTTTTTAATAGATGTTCTTCATATTGACAAGCAGCAGCACCTCTATGGGTTACAGTGCTGGTAAATGTGAGTGTGTGTGGTGAGTGAAGGTGTTGCAGACTGACAGAGAGCATGTCAGGTGAAGCTGGCATCATATGATTGAAACAGTATTAAAGCATTACATTGCATTTTATTTGGCTTGTGGGATTCAAGCGATATGCTACTGTATCTCTTTTTTCAAAGACCTGTCTCACTTGGCCAAATATATTCTTACGTTTCTTTCCCAGCATGCAACTGGGGTTTTATGTAGCCCAATTACTTTTAATAGTATTAGTTCTTATACAATGTTTTTGACTTTTTTTTTAGCTCATTGAATGTACGCCTGTGGCATGAAATGTCCTGTATAAATGAACTGACCGGCTAAAATCTCTGTCTTGCCTATGTCTCAGAGAACCTGATGAATCATGATCACCACAGAGGCTGCCAGGGAGTTCCAGGCCAAAGAGCGCAAACACAAAGAGCAGCTGAAAAGATGTTTATCAGCTGCATTATCTGCAGACCTTGACAGGTAAGACATGTGACAGTATGCACTGAACGGGGTGTAATCTTGGATCAATGGCAAATGTCAATAACAAAAAGCTTGCCACGCCTGCAACTTATTTTAAAGGCTCGTCAATAGTAGGGTCAGGAAAAGGGATCAATGCTGCTGTCATTTAAAACAAGTGTGTAAAACAATAGTTTTACAAACAAATCTCAACTCAAAGACCACATTTAAAGGGGCAGTTCAGCAATTGTATTCATTAACTTCAACTAACTTGTCAAAGAGAGAAGTACTCAGTTGTTAAAACTGTTTTAATGTATCCTCTTTGGCCCAAGAGGAGCTTATAAAGTTAGAAAAATAACCTTGGTGATGACATGGGGTTAATCTTACTTTACTTGACAAAACATTCTTAAAGAAATAAAGGAAGGAAACTTACATTGCAAACTGGAGGTATGGGCTTTGAACAATTTAAATCATAATTTAGGGGCAGGATAGTCTAGATTAGTCTGAGGTCTATAGTCAAGTGTTTAAACATGCATGCAAATTAGTCGCTTTTCGGCGCCTCCCGCTTTTCTAACACTGATTTGGGTGACTTGTGTAATTCGTGGAGAACCGAAGAGTTTTCGTTTTGGGGGGGGGGGGGTCCGACTCACAGACTGACGGACAACTTCTCACTTCAAAAATGTTTTAAATGACCATTTCTACTGATCATAATACCATTGTTGAGGTCTACTAGAATAGATTTAATGTTAATGTTCCAAAATCACATTGGTTTCTCATACAGCATCTCTGTATAATATGTGTATTCACTCTCTGTCCTAAACGGCTTGTTGGAGCTCCGGTGTTCGAATTACCCATTTGCTTTCGGGGGAGCCCTATTTTTCAGTGCACATCCTGCTACTAAATATGTCACACGCACGCTCTGTTGACTGGCGCAGCAGCGCGGATTCGATCAATCGCTATAAAATCACTCTGCTACTACTACAGACGGTGTCACTACGCCGGCGGCTGTGGCCGTTGTTGAAGCCTCTTCAGGCTCCGCATCGGCAGGCCTCTCCCTCGGTGTGGAGCTGTCAAACCCGACCCTAACGCCGCTTACAGCCGGCCAACTAAAAGTTGTTCAGTTCACGTTGTCAATTTTAGACTCCTTCGCTTCTTTGCTTGTGAATCCAAAAGCTGCGACGCTTGGCTGTTTTCGTTTTGCCATATTTTTTATTACAAAGCCAGAGTTAAAAAAATATCGATATGAACATTTCAAATACCGTTCCGGCATCGCCGCCGTAACCATAGCAACATAAGTAGCGTAAAGAATGCAGCGCCGCCACGTACAGATGGCAACACCCAGAAATATTCACAAATATAAAACAAATATTCAGAAACTGTAATGAACAATAACTATTATTTATTTCAAGAATTGTTATTTACAGAAACTCAACATTTCTAATCTGTGTGACACAAATATGCACGATTGTTTTGGGCTCCCCCTATTTATCTCAAAGTCGGCCTTCAGGGGAGCTCCCTTCCTCTTCGGGGGAGCCAAGCTCCGCCTGGCTCCCCCCCATTTCGAACAGTGACGCCAAACGACCCACGGCGGCGTGCGTTGAAGCTTCTGCCCATTCACTAGCCGCCGCTATTTGTATATAGGGTAACTTGAATGAGCCGGGCGGTGTGTCTTATTTGTTTTAAAAAGGTAGCAACAAAAGCTAGCAATACGACCAACCTTAAACTGCACCTGAAACACACAACCACCCCATTCCGTTTTCCCAGCTGGGAGCAAACACGGCAGCTGGAGATGGAGAGCCCCCACCTTCCTGACAGTTTACAATCAAAGATGCATTTGCCCAACAATGCAAACATGTTGGTGTTCCTTGCTCGAAATCTTTGAAATACAGATTTGGATATGGCCTGTTGAGGCATCTGGGTCTTTGTATGGACAGTGGACTGTACACTTGACTGTTGTTTTAAGGAGTTTTTTTTTGCTTGTGAGACAATGTGTGCTTTTATTTATTTATTTATATATTTATATATATATATATATATGAGAGAGAGAGCTCTGTTTTGCAGCCTGAGTCTATTTAATTGATTGTTTTGGTTGTGTGTGATTTTAATTAATTTGTTATAATTAAATGTATTTGTTTTATTTATTATATATAATTTATATATTTGAATATTATTTCACGTTTCATTTGCAATGTTGAATGTTCAATAAAAAGTTCTATTTGAAAGGATGTACTTGAATTATTATTATATATTATCACTACTGTATGTCAGTGGTCTAAAATGGTCTTACAACGGTGCCGACAATATTATCGTTTATCGCAATAATTTCTGGGAAAATGTATCGTCCAACAAAATTAATTATCGTGACAGACCTAGCCCTTGAGAGGAAAAAGGTTCCCCGCCCCTGCTGTAAATAATAATAAAAGCCCTTCATTTATAACTTAACATCTCTGTCTCCTATTGATCTGAGTATATTATAAAGAATAGCCAGTTAATTGAAGCATTATAGCACAGGCCTTTGTCAGATGGTATATTACGCTGTTTTTTTTCTGCTTCGAATAGTTCTCTCTTTTTTCACCATACGTGTGTTTGCATCCCTGTTTAAAGAGCATGAAACAAAAAGTCAGAATATCCTGGCCTCTGCTAATGCATTCAATTTGACCATCCTTTTTTTGTCTCCTATGAGTCCCCAGTCTTTATGTACAATATTGAATTAACCTTTAACTTCACCTCTAAGTTTACCTTGGAGGAAAGTTTCCTGGAAATTACTTTTACTTTTTAAAATGACCTTTACTTATCTTATTAAGCTTTAAATGTAATAATATTATAATATTGTCCTACTATTTTAGGCATTCATTTGAATTCACACAATGGCTACAGCGTAGCTTTGCAATGAAAATCTTCAGATGAACAAGGACGTAGCTATTTTGCATATTAAATTAAAGCCTTTGAAAATGTAATCTTAAACATACCATAGAAATAAAAGCATAAAAAACTACAACTTATTTTTTTGAAGAAAAGTAAACATCTACTGAGGAAGACCACAAGGTCTGGTTGAAAACTGTTGATGTAAGCTAATAATTGGCCCTTAAGTTAAGGACTACTCTTTCCATGGTCAGGAACCCTTGAGAAAACTATAGAAAGGCCTCAGATAATAAGACTATACATCTTGGTAAGCTGCAAAGTTACAGTAAAGTTCACCCATGAGAAACATGGATCTGTGCAGGTCATTGGGTTTTATCTGATGTGGATGTAGATGTCCTTGTTGCACTAGTGGTTCATCACTTTGGGCACATTTAATCGGACGGTTACAGTTATGGACATAGTTTCATGGTTGAACTTGTACATACCGCACTCTCGGTCTTTAGCTGAAGATTCCTGGGTCACACAGATCAGTCGTTGAGGCGCGAGGAGAGATAAGGATGGTGAAGAAGAAACGCACCGCCTCAGAGTCGGGACTCTGCTGTGTTCGTCTGATAAGGAAAAATAGGCCATCAGATTACTCTTTGAACCTCAGAGATTTTAGAGGTTGGTTAGTTAAGAAGGCCTTACTTGTTCATTACTGTTCATGTATAGAGTAAAAAATCTTCAAAAAAAAAGTTCAGCGTGAGTCCGATTGAACAAGGAATTTACTTGTTTTCAAAAAACTCAACAAAATAAGTTAGTTTTGTAAAAGAAATACAACGTGTAATAAACCGAACAGTTTAAAAAAAAAATAGGAATAGGATGATTAACTAATATAAAACTAAAGAATGAACAGAGGTGGAATGATACGTGGTTCAGTTTCTCTGTCTGTTTTACTACCAATACAGCAAAGGAACTTCAATGTAACATCAACCATTGATTACATATTACCCCAGTAAGACACAATAACATGAACTCAGATTTATCACATTTTGTAATGCGTGCAAAATAATAGAAGGCACATAATGTTCTCTGTTTATTAGAATGTGTATGTAGTCGTAACATTTGGAAAGAGGTTCTTAAGAGGGCGGCAGTGGCTCAGTCTGTAGGGACTTGGCCTGGGGACCGAAGGGGTCTCCGGTTCACGTCCTGATCGGTCAAAAAAAAAAAAAACACGGTGGACTGGTAGCTGGAGAGGTGCAAGTTCACCTCCTGGGCCCTGCTGAGGTCCCCTTGAGCAAGGCACCGAACCCCCAGCTGCTCCCTGGGGCCGGCACCGACCCGCTGCCTCTCCACTCTGAACCTCTCCAAAATGCATGTTTATGTGTTCACCATGTGTGTATTTGTACTGTGGCTCGTAAAACAAAAAATGCATGTTCATGTGTACCTATATACTTGTAGTGTGTGTGTGTGTGTTTATAAAAACAAAGTGAAAGCTGAATTTCCCCTAGGGGGAACAATAAAGGTTAATCTTCTTCTTCTTAAAGAAATTAATGACATTGACAATTGGTAAAACAATAAACATCTCTCCTGCATCGTGCATTTTAGGCATAGATGAATATCCCTCAAAATCGATTAAAACTCATCAAAATCCCCCTCTTCGGTGCTAGACGGTGCATTTTATTAAAGTGGGTGTCAGAAGAATCCCCAAATGTCACACAGTGGATGAGTAGTGTGTTATGGCGCATTTCCACTACAGGGCCTCGCTCGGTATGGCTAGGCCTCGTTAGGCCTTGTTAGGCCCGGCTCACTTTATGCTGCGTTTCCATTATAGTTTAGTAGCTATAGTAACGCAGTGTAGGCGGAGCCGTGACGTCATCTTCAATGCGAAACACAAAACCAACATCAGCCGTTAGCTGTTAGCACTCAAGCTCACAGCTCCTCATATCTGTTCACAAACTAGACAAAAGTTAAACAAGTACAAACCACAGACTGTGTCATGGCGAATACAGTCGCTGGTTTATTTATGTCTGTATAGGCCGTTGTTGTGAGTGTGGACGGTCGGAGCATATACTGCGTTAGCTTAGCCGATCTCCGCATTTTAAAAGGTGTTTCGCCTGCCGTCTGTCTGCAGACTTGTCAAAGCATTAATTCATGTTTTTTACTAACCGGTATCAGTATGTTGTTACTTCGGCATCATTTTGAAACGTGTATTACAATTAAATCACGGTCAAATATGTTAATTTTGTTGTAGTAGCCCCTTGCCAGCGATTCTCTCTCTAGTTTATCATACTCAGCCCAACTCAGCCTGGTTGTTGTCCCGGATAGAACCTCGATTTTATGGGGCAAGAAAAACTGTGAAATAGTACCTGCTAGCCAGAACTACGCCAAGTGGAAACGCAACCAAAAACGGGCCGGGCACGGCACGCTTAAAGCGAGCTCCGCGCTGTAGTGGAAATGCGCCATTAGAGTTCATGCCTCTTGAAGCCCTCAGCTTTTATTTAAAGGGGACCTATCATGCAAAATGCACTTTTTACGTCTTTTATACATGAATATGTGTCCCCGGTGTTCCAGGGAACTCACCAAGTGTCAGAAAACACAACCCTCTCTATTTTCCTCCATACCCAAATCTCTAAAAACTGATCCAGATTTGAACACTTTACTGACGTCAGTAAAGTGGCGCTACGGCTATTAGGCCAACTCTCCACCTATCAGGGGAATGTGGGGTTGGGCCACGGCCGGCCATTGCCGCTCGAAAGCGCTGGAGACGCTGTAGTACATATGCCAGGCCTGTAAGTGGCGCTGTAGTCTGCCACAAAAGCAGCAAAGAAGACTTCCCGCCCATGGTTACCCTTCTGTTTATTCTCCGCTGTGGCTTTTTTTCTCCCTCCCCGAGGCAAGCGTTTGCTCCCGCTGCTTTAATTCAATGCAATCCCTCCCCGTCGAGGCAAGCACTGTAATTCTCTCCGGTTAGTCCACCAGCAGATGACAAACACCCACCTCTCTGCCTCTTCCAAGGAACGAGGGGACCGTGCGGCAGAGTTTCAGTTTCTTTCGCCGGTCAAGATGTCCGTTAAAGTTTAAATCTTCCGGACAAAATTAGAAAAGTGCCGGTCAAAGGTCTTCTTTGTTATTTATTGAGCTTTAAAACAAATGAATAACGACTCTATAGGCCTATAATAATATAATAAAACACGGACGACGGAGATCTTTTTTTCTCCCCCTCTTGACTTGATCAGAGCACGGCTCCCCTCTCCTGCAGGGGGGCGTGGTCAGCTGCAGCTCACAGAATCAGACCCGTAGACAGCAAACAGCACATAGAGCGAAATGAGGCATGGCTAAAATGCATGATCTGTTTGGTATTTTGAAAACAGAAACGTATAAATATACCTTATATTGGTATGGCCCTACAATATATCATTTAAATATAGCATGATAGGTGTCCTTTAAGAGATGAACCGTTTCAGTTTTATAACGTTTGTCCCTTTACCACTTATTTAGGACCTGAGTCCCTACGGACAATAACAGCAGGGCTCTGTGGTCGGGCATGGGGACAATAGAAGTTTTGTTATTGCTTTTGTTATTATTATTCATATTATTTTAATGTCTGTACTATCTGGTAAAAGTTGTAAATACTGGTTTCACCTTTCAAATCTGTCATGTTCTGTTAACCTGTCTTGTATGAATGGAAGAAAAAAAGGTTGACATAATCAAAGTCTTGATTATTGAAAACGTATTGTTTGTTTTTTTATAAATGTGTATTTAAGTTTAATTAGTTAAAATAAACTAAACTCAACTATGTTTGCTTTAAAATGTAATAATATGTTTTACATGTCGCCAACAGGGTTAAAACCAAAGTTTTTCTTGTTTGTGTTTTGTATTACCTTTTTTTTTTAGTCGATAGTTACTCAGACACATTGATGGTGTGCATGTTTTAAATACAGTTAGAACAGGAGCATTTTGATGGTTCTGCGTGTGCTAAAGTGTTGTAAATCCTTTCCCCAGACTGCTGCAGGAGGAGCTGGAGGCGGATGTCTCTCTGTATGCCGGGGCCGGCTCTCTGCAGGCCCACAGAGCCGTCCTGTTGGCCAGAGCTCCTCATGTCCTGCAGGGCCAGGCCCACAAAGATCCCACCAACATCTATCTGTCTGGATATGAGCTGTCCGGGTTAAAAGATTTCCTCAGGTAGGCCAGATTTATAATTACAGCTTCTATTTAAGTCGCTAAGGCCTCTTAAGTTGAGATACCCCTACCCGAGGTAGACCAACCATGTTATTTCAATACTTTAATATATGTCGTTTTTGAAATGGATTGTAATATACAAATATCTTAACTATTTTTCTTGGTTGAGATTTGGAACCTTCCCATAATCGAAAATAGTGAAAATGTAGTCTTCTCCAAGGGGGATCGTGTGTGCCTTATCACAGGTATCTCTGAACATTCTAATAATGATCAGAATGTCACCAAATAAATGTTTACATAGAGGCAACACATACAATAAAGCAATGATTCATCAATACCTATTTCCATCACTGTAATATACACTTTAAAACACGTGAATGATAGAGGGAAACGAAATAGGAAATCCAAATCCAATCACAGAAACAAATATGAGTACCAGAGACTGTTATCTTTCCATACATGTAGGTCTCACCCTCTGCAGTCATAAACCCCTAACAGCTAACCAGTGCAGCCAATCGAGCGGTAGAACCTATGGGTGGAGAAGGCTACTTTTGTATTATTTTTGGTTATGGGAGGTTTCCAAACATCAACCAAAAATAATAATGTTGCAGTAAAATCATTAAAACAGGCATCCATTTAAAAAACTAGACAATAAATCTGGTTTATTTGAGGGGTATCTCAAAAACAAAAACCTTTTTGGGGGGGGTTGTGCCTTTACCAATGTGCCTTTACCAATGTGCTTTCTAGGGGATGTGAGGAGACATCTTTTTTTCTCTTGGTGATACATACTCACAAACTGTCCAGCAGAGGGCGCCAAGCACACCATCTGTAATCTGCAGGATAAGAATCTGCTGCTGTTTGTATGTTTCTTTAAAGGAGCATGCAAATGCTGCAGCTGTTCAATAATAAATTGCACGTCACATTTTAGTTTCAGTGCTGAGACACAAATCCCAAGGTGTTTGAAGGTTTATAATCATTCTAGTGTAGTTATTTCCATCAAGGCTTTGCAGTGTTTTGATCCACTGATGTGAGTCTGGGTTTATAATTAGGGCTAGAAGAAAGAGTCGTCCTTGTTTCGCTACACTACCATGAGGTCTAAAATTAGTTTCAAGCTTTTATAATACATAGTAAAAAAAAAACATCCCTGCATTCAGGTTACCATAAGATGGAGGTTTTTGGCATGCATAGGCATCCTATTAAAAAGATTCAATATTAATGAGTTTAGTCAATCACAAATTAATCAATTAACTAATTTTGCTGCTGGTGTTGACCTTTTTAGCCATTGCCTTCTTGAATTATATTTAAAACTGCCATACCAACCAGAGCAGTTTTAGACGGTTAGTTGGACAAATCAAGCAGTCTAAATGTACTTGTGCTGAAAAACGTTTTGACATTTATCAGTTATCTGGAGAAAGAAAAACGTTATCAACAGTTTCTATGACATGGTCACTGTGGGTTTAATAAAAGTGTGGTGTACAAGAAAGAAGCAAAAATCATTAAGTTAACAAAACGGCATTGTTTCAATGAAATAGTGTGCAACATAAAACAAACATAAAAAATACAAATTAAGGGATAGCAGCACTGCAACTACAAACAAGCTAAAAATAATTAGTGCAGTAGTATGTGTAAGTATGAGTAAGTGTTAAAAAACACATGGAACCAAGTTGTCCAGCAGCAACATTATCAGAGATCCACAGAAACATAAGTATGAGCAGCATGGAGAGGATGATGTTTGTATCTGTTTGTCATGACTAAGGGGATCTGAAACAGGTGCCAGAGCGTAGGGATATAACACGCAGGTAAGATGGTAGGTGCCATCTGTCAAGATAGAATTTTCCCTGTTTACCAGCTGAGGGTTATATAGAACAGGCCGGCTACTCTGCTGGACCATCATCATTGTGCTGTTTGTTATTACTGTTTTAGCTAGTGCAAGCTTGGATTTGATATACAAAGACCATAGGGACTGAAGATAAAACATGTTTCAGGGTAGGATTTGTAGTAGAGGGTCATCAGGGACCTGTCGGCATGAAAGTTGGCAGGTTGCCGGAGACTGTAAAGTGTTTGCACTCATCTACTAGCCTTTTTAAGTCCCTACAGACTGAGCTACTGCAGAACCGGAGGGTCGCTCTTTTAATTCCCAGAACAAAGTATGGAGTGTGGACTGGTACTTTGAGATGTGCTAGTGCTTTAGTCCTGGGTGCTGCCGAAATGCCCTTGAGCAAGGAACCAAACCCTATCACTGCTCCCTAGGTGCTGTATGATAGCTGATGACTGGTCTTAATACATGAATGTGTTAAATGCGTGGACCTTATTTGACTGTGTACGTGTGTGACGATTTAATAGCTTGGATAAAAATAATGCAAACATATTTTTCTTAAAATAAATCTCTTAAAAATAATGCAAACATGTGTTTCTTAGAAAAAATCTCTTTTTAAAATATGCCAATCTTCTCACTGCACTATGTTAAATTAATTGTATAATATATTTTTTGTATAAAGCGATAGTAGAGGAGAAAGAGAGATGAGGAATGACGTGCATTAATGGTCAGACTTAACCCCAGGAATGTTTTTTATTGTCTGCACTTTAACGCCTGGGTTGCATTATCACAACTCACTCGCTTGCTTAACACACTTGTCAGACCAAGCCAGGCTGCCACAGCAGATTACAAAGCACTCAGGGCACATGTACTATAACAGACTGTTAGTAACTTCATCAGGTTCCGAGCCACTTTATAAAATGCTTCACTGAGAAAGAAAGAAAATCCTTTGCAGTGAAATGTATGCCCTGCATACTTTGTCACCACAGTCACATGAGATTGTTATTTAGCGTGAAAGGTCTTGTGTTAATTAACCTTTGGAGTTTCCCTCTGCAGGCGCGTGTACACGGCACACCAGAGCATGCACTCGGCTGAAATAATCCCAGACATGGATGACTCGGTGCCAGAAAGCACTGCTCCTGACCCAGCAGACCTGCGTGGTTCCTCTGACTCAGGTATACACGCTTCTCTATAGAGGGTTATTGTAGGTTATGTGAACTATTAGCCCCCACCTGTCCCCATCCCCATCCCCCTTCTAAACATCATGTTATCTCAGCCATAATCCATTTAAGAGATAATCCCATTTGGATTCCTGTTGTCGTAACTGCTAATTTCAGGATGGCCATCACACGGATACTTTTTAACGTCACAATTTGCTGTGTTAAAAGTTAAGGCAGAGGTGTCCAAACTACGGCCCAGTGGCCAACTGCGGCCCATGGTCCATTTTTAGCCCACAACGAATTCTAAAAGTATAATGGAATATGGCCCACACATTGTACTTCTTAAGTATGTAAAGCCCAATTTTCAAATACATTCAGTCAGTTCAAGTTGAAAACATTTTCTAACAAGTCTTAGTTGATAAAAAAGCCCAATAACCTATTTGCATAACAAGCTTAAATATACCCTTCCTATTTCGGCTTATCGATATATATATATATATGAGGCTTCTGTTTTAAGGAATGAGCTGCCAACACTTGGGTGTAATGTCATCTTTTTTTTCTTTAAGCATATTCAATTATCAAGAATAATTTACCTACATTTGATTGATTTAGCTAACTTATAACTTAACTTATGAGGCATTATAAAACGGACAAGCCAAATCAAGCAATCTGATTGGTTCTTAGCCGTGATATACTGAGCGTATACCACGGGTAGAATTGTAAGTTACTTTTCACAACAACTCAGTATCCCTCCGCGTCTGAGAAAAACTGTATACAGTTGGGACGAAAAGCAAACTGCCTGCAGTTTGCTTTTCAAACTGGAACAAGAAAGCAGCGGAGAAGTAACGGGCAGAAACCCTCCTTTTTACGCAGCGGTCCAGACATAGACATCAAACGGCAAAAACATATTCAGTGTGCAGCTCCTTTGGCATTAGGGCAGGGATATTTAGATACTTTCCAGGGTTTGACATAATGAATTGTGCTACTTTTAAAGCAAGCAACGATGTTTTCAAATCTGTAATCAAAAAGGTCTGCAAAAACGCTATCGACCAATCAGATTGCTTGATTTGACTTGTCCGTTTTATAAATATATTTACATTTCTTCCGTTACGAAACAAACTTACAGAGCATAAGATGGAAACATTTAAGATTAACTTCGACCTCCGGGGGGGTCTTACTATGGAGGAGTGGATTGAGGAGTGCCTATCTCCAGAACAAAAAGCACCTAAACGACGACATGCTACGTGAAGAGCAGGTAGACCAACTTGAAAGGTACCACCTTTCAGTTAAGGGGGTTGTCGACCCTCCGCTTCGCGTCGGGCCGAACCACGGCCCTTAACTGTGATATAATGGCCATATACCACGGCCTGTCGTGAGCTATTGCTTAAATATACCTCACCTCTAGTGAGGGGCCCAACCCTTTTTTTCTGTATGTGGCTTTCAGTGAAAAATGTTTGGACACCCCTGAGTAAAAGGGTTTAATGGTAGATAACTCTGCTGTTCCACAAACACAAATATGCACGTCTCACACTCTGAGCCTCGCTCTTCGTTACTCTCCCTCCCGCCCTTCCTCATTATCCCTCTTTACTCCAGACGCTGTTCTGGAGCCAGCCTCGGGCCTCGGAGCTGACTTGCTGGATCTATACCAGCGGGGTGAGCAGTGTGACATCACCATCCAAGTAGCAGAGCAGGTCTTCTCCTGCCACAGGTAGAGCTGCTCCCACTTATCTTATTCATACATCTGGAATTCGAAAACATTGTTTTTCTTAAGAATAGTATCATATGGGTCCTGTAAGATGTTCAGCTCAGTACAGTCAGTGAGAAAACACTTCAGAGGTCGCACATTGGCAGTGTGGAGCAGTGGTGGGTGGTCATTTTGTGATGCAGAGGTTGTAGAAACTGCTGGTAACCATGGAGACAGGTTTCTCCCAACTCATGCTTAGGGGAGCAGCCAGTGAATGCTTGTCAGAGAGAGGAAGCTGGGCAAGTTCTTTCAGATATGGGCATGTTATCCTGCCAAAAGCATCTATTGGAAGATGGGTAAACTGTGTGTCATATAGGGATGGTCTGCAAAAATACTCAGGTAGGCTGTGGTGTTTAGACCACAGACAATAGATTTATGCAGTGATAACATATTTGTGTAGGCCGACACGAAAGTTAGCATCGCAAGGGTTCCCTCAACAAAAGCAATTGGATTTTTCTATTGCTCTCCAGAATATTGCAGAAAATAGGATCTATGTCAAACACACGTTTATGATACTTCCACGTTTTGTTCAGCAGGATCATCTCCATTATAACACACATTTATAATTTTTTAAGCGTAAATGCAATAGCCAGAAGTTAAAAGCTAATGTAAGGTGAAAACCACGCAAAGCTAAATGTGGCTACTGTTTGGTGTGATGATGTTTAGTTGTCTGATAAAGTCACTTGTTAGCAACCGCCATTGTTATGACCTTCAAACTTTCACCTGTGTGTTTTTGCTGGTGTGTTTTATGTCCTAGAGCAAAAAAAGGTAGATCTCTTCAGCTTTTTTTAACCACAAACCTACTTCAGACATTTAACTAAAGACTTAATCAAAAAACACATTGACTTTGAGACAATTGAACCGTTAGTGAAAAAAAAAAGAAGACTCATTTCCGGGTTGGCCATTCTCCTCTGACCTCTGCCTTCAACAAGGTTATTGTGTAACTGACTAAATGCCTTGAGTTGCTATCACATGATTGGCTGAGCAGATATTTGCCTAAAAGAGCAGTTGAACAAGTGCACCCAATAACGTGGCTGATATTTAGCACACTAATTCATAATTCATGGTTGGTTGTGGTCTCTTCATGGGATTTAGAAAATCACTAGCCTCATCCTTCATTTGAGCTAAGTCAGCAATATAAACAGGTTATTTCCATATTTGTGACAGCACAATCTTCAGAGGAAGTGAGAATAAGAGAATCTCCAGAGACTACAAAACACACATATGTTTTGTTCTGTTGTTGTTTAAGTATACGCAAGCCTGCCAGATGACATGTAAAATATTAAAGTGGTGGGTTGATCTGACTTGCAACTGCCTGCTTTACTGGGTTTCTAGGGCAATCCTGTGTGCGCGGTCCCAGTATTTTCGAGCCATGCTGAGCGGGAGCTGGATGGAGAGCTCCAGACAGTGCATCACTCTGCAAGGGTAAGACTCAGCATCATCCTGCAGCAGGTCACACGGATCAATAATACACCTCTGCTCCTGCTCTGACAATTCCACATTTTATTCCTGAACAACACAGTTGAATTACTGCATATGCTGCATTAATTATTCAGGCCTAGCAACAGAGGTGGCTTTGTACAGTATGGGGTTTCACTCACAATGCCTTGTTTTAACTCCATATATACCCACACTCACACACTCACACATATACACACAGCAACCCACTGCCAGTGGAATCTGAAATGGCTCGCTCAGTTTGTTTCATTGTCCTCTGTGAGGCACATCAATGTCTTCTCATCCACTGCCTGCTGACGGGCCTCCCCCACCACCGCCACCGGCCCCTAACCCCCCCACACAGCCTCTTTCAGAGCGGGGAAAGGCAAATGAAGCCCATTTTTCCTCCGGGGAGAGAGATGCCGCTCGCCTCAGCATCACTGATCTGAGGTTAACGGGGGAAGACGTGTCGGTCAGAATGGAGAGCTACGGCGTTGACGGGGGGGGGGAACCTATAAAGTGTCCCTCGGGCTGCAGTCACGAGGATTGAGTGCTGCATGATATATGGATTCTGTTCACAGCATTCTCAGTTGTGTTTGCAGTATAGATAGACATCTAAACTTTGTGCATGAAGTCACAAAGAAAAATAAATAGGCTATACCAGGGCTATTCAATTAGTTTGGAATGGGGGCCGGTTGATGAAAATGATCCAAAGCAAGGGGCCGGGAAAAAGATGGCTTGAAATATGAGCAATCATATTTAAGAGCTTCAGATACAGTAAATACTACAACAGCATAGTGGAGTGCATATATTGTGTTTAATTCAATCAAACAACATAGCCCCAAGGCCTTTATAGATCTAAATGGCAAGTTCAGAACTCAGTAGGCCTACATGTTTCATTTGATTTCATTTAGGTGAAATGATCTAATTCACGCAGAGATGCAATCAATGACAGGAGTTGTCACTACAGTATAGTAGGTGGGTTCGAAACCCGAGCCCGTCGAAGTTTTCAGGCATTGTCTACCCCTCTATCTCTCAATGTAACACCCTCTCTGGAATAAAGGCACTATGGCACAAAAAAAAAAAAAAAAAAAAATCTTAAAAAAAAAAATTTGATTACTTTTTAACATTATACTCAAAGGGCCAGTAAATATCACCCCGGGGCCGGATTTGGCCCGTGGGCCGCCAATTGAATAGCCCTGGGCTATACTTTGGTACAATTCTTTATGTTTAAGGAATAGTTTGGATTCTATGAAGTTGGGTTGTATGAGATCCATAGTCATTGTAATACAGTATCTACAATAGGTTGTTGGCACTCATTCGGGTACCATTTTGGCCACCTGAAAGAAAATGCCGCTGCCCCATCCTTACAGTAAATTGCTAAGCTTCCTGCTGGTACTCCTGTCAGTTTCTCCTAAAAGGGAGCGTGTCCATTGCCATTTACTGTGGGTAATACACTGACCATGTATTAGTACCCAGTGGTGGGCCGTCAGGGACAGAAAGGCCTTCACTGCTGGCAAGCTAGCAAGCCTGTCGCAGCCTGTGAAAGGGTTTGACCACCACTTTAATTTCACTAACTTCAGCAGTACCTTGGCTCACAGCCTCCGAGGAGTACAGCAAACTGTACTGCTGGGAATGCCTGATATTCGCAACTGACCGACTTGGTGTTTGGAGCCATAGAGGGTTTGCAAACTTGAGTTGGCAGCATCGAGACACCAAAGCACAGCTGGACACTTACAAGCAACGGTGCTTTGGAAACGTTTTTGGGAAACTCGAGTGGATCTACAGCCTAATTAACAAGTGCGCAGGGAAACGGAGCTCCACAATGTTTTTTGCCAGAAATACGACTGGACAAACTGGACTTTCAGCATTAGCCTCCATGGCGATTGAACAGGACTTGGAACTGAAACACTCAGATAATCTGAACAACAGAGTAATTTAACTATTTTTGAGGAAAGAAAGGAGCATGGATTTTGTGTACAAATAATCAAACGTATTGGTGAGTAATACTATAATGACTTGTATTTATATATTTTTAATTTGTTCAAGTAAATATGAATGCTTCTGCTAGAGATGATGTATGCAGCGCAGCTGTGGCTGCAGTGAAAGGAGACTTGTTGAATTGTGTTGTTTCGGTTTGCTGCTTCAGTAGCAGCATTCATTCTCGCTACATTAGTGGTGGTGGTGGTGGTGGTAGTGGAGTACAGAGCTTCACAAGTACGTCGGTACGCAAATGCGCTTTGTGACACAAGTGACGGTACGCATTTCAGATTGTTGCAGCGCATGCGTACCTGCGTACCAGTTATGTGCACCCCTGCTTATACACCCCAACCTGCAAACAATCCAAACTATCCCTTTAACTTTAATAATATCTCTTAACATATTGTTTTGTTGCCCTTTTTTCAGCTTAGGGCCAGATGAGATGGAGGTCCTGCTCCAGTTCATGTACGGAGCCATTGTGGATTTACCACCTGGAGCCAGTGCCAGGTACTGTATGAGACCAGACAAAATTAGAATGCAGATGCAGAAAACAAGCTGACCTGTGTTTGGTGTCTCCTGTCCCACAGTCAGGTGGTGTTGGCTGCAGACATGTTGGGTTTAGAGGGACTGAAAGACGTGGTGGAGATGGTTCTGACCCGAGACTACTGCCGCTTCTTCCCCAAGGTCAGCTTTACATTATGAGGGATGTAATGATGGTCTTTATAGGCTTGTTCTCTTTCAATATGTACTGTGTGTATGGGCTAGGTGGGGTCACATGTGTAGCCTTTAAACATGTTGAATTTGGGGCTGCTATCAATTACGTTCATTTTTCGGTCACACGATCAGTTAATAGCACCTCATTAATCGCTGGCCTCAGGTCATTTGCAAAGTTATTCAAATTAGTTCAAGGGAGTAAAGAACACAGATTTTAAATCTGGTTAACCCGAGCACTGGTATTGGCAGCAGTGGTCGCGTTAACCGAATATTTTCCGTCTATGCCGGATTTTTTTTAACAATGACTGAAAAATATGAAAGCAGTCTGTCATTTTGACGGATTAGAACAACTCGGAACAGCGCCAAAGTTTCCCCGCAGTGAGGCTCCGGTGTTATGCCGTGTTATGCATGCCCGTCAAAAAGGAAATGATATAGTTTCCAAACCGTACTTTGCTGTACAAATCATTGAAATGTCTGGGAGTATGTCTGGAACAAAACGTTGCTTAACCTAGACCTGACCAACTGCAGCAACCCCAGATCATCACACTGACCCCACTGGGCATGATGGGTGCATCACTTCATCCGCCTCTATTCTTACCCTGATGCGCCCATCACTCTGGAACAGGGTAGATCTGGACTCATTGATTTAGTTTTAATAATGCGTTGGACAGTTCTTAACCAGATTTTAGTGGTTTGAGCAGTCTCCTTAGTTGTGTTCTGACCTTTCTGAAAAGGATTAACATCCTTTCCACGACCTTAGGATATGTGTTCCGACATGGTTGTTGAGAAATGGGAAACTAAACACCACATCAGCTAGGGTTAAATAACTTGTTGCTAGCTGAAACATATTAAACATATTAATCACAGATTGGCTTAGTTAAACCAAGTTGGTGACTTTGTTTTTGGATGGGCAGTGTATTTTGCTACCGCTGTCAGCCCCATATGGTCTGGTTCACCAAAGAAATGTAGCCAATTATATAATGACACACACACTTGTGTGCAAATTTTACTTATTCGCATCTGATTGCAATTATTCATGTGGCAAGGTATAAATGTTACCTTTGCGCCAGGAATGGAGAACAACAGTGAAAAATATAATGTTGTAATGTGAGCATGAGCTACAGAACATGATGAACAAGGTGCAGAAGCATTCCTTCAAACTTCAGTCACGAAGTAAAACTTGCGAGAGAGAAAACTATTTCAGGAATTTAATATCCCAGTCATCGCTGCTTTTTCAAAGCACTGCTGTTTGAAATAGTCATTTTAAGCGGATGACAAGAAAATCATGCCATGATCAGCCCCCTGACACATGCGCTTCAGTTACCACCAACTCTCTGAAGACGCCAATGATTTCATTCCAACTTTGTGGTTATAAGCGATATTTCTTTTTTATTTGACTTTTTTTGTTGTCATAGAAAAGGGCGGGTCAATTTTCCTCCAAATGTATGCATACTCTCTAAATGTAATACATTTCAAAATGCTCTGTTGCACCAAAACAATATTTGCTTGGCAGCGCCCTTAGGGGTGCTTAGGAAATGACACGTTTTCTTTAAGTCTTATTTGTGAAGGTCTAGGGGCCTTCCAAAAAACGCAGTTCTTTTCTGTATTCACCCATCAGTGTAGTGATCCCTCGTCCAAAACAACAATAAATGATCACTATGTGTAGTAACACAGCTGAAAACTCAGAGAACAAATCCTATTGTAAGTCCTTTGGCTTAACACTTGTTGATTGAGTATGGTGCGTGCATGTTCAGTGCCAATAATAGTGCTGTTTAACTTATCTGAACACTTTTTCATTCTCATTTTACCATATGCCAGATTTCACAAATGTTGTATGTGTAAATTCCTATTTTTCTTCCCCCTCCTGTGTTGGCAGCCGATTGACGGGGTTCAGAGAACAGTTCTTGAATGTCTGTCACTCACACACGCCTTAGGCCTTCAAAACCTCCACCTGCTGTGTAAGAGGTGAGTGTCTGTTGTTGCTTTTCTATAAATGTGTTACAGCTTAGAAATCTGAAATACATTTAGACGAGACACTACATATAAATAATTGGTCCTATCATTTTAACAGTTGTCAAAGATGACCTTTAAAGATGCTTGTGTAATTGGAAAAAAAGTGCAGAATATTCCAACCTTGCTACTTTCGCTTACATCAGCATCCTGTTGCTAGGTAACCAGCATGTGGGTTCATACTTGTGTTATGAAATAGCCTTGGGTTGGGGTTACATGCCTTAATGTGATTCAATTCACCATTCTGTTGAGTACAATTAATTGCATTTATATCCTTTAAAGCAATTACTCCTTAGACAAGGAAAAACCTACAGAAAACACTCCTTTCATTTTTCTATTAAACCTTTAACATGTCAAATGTAGATGACGATCATTCTTAAGGGCCAATGCATTTCTCAAGTTTGCTGTTTAGTTACAGACACTAATGCATTGCTCTACATTTATAAGTCGATCAGATTTAACAAAAAAAATTAGGCACGTCTTTACATTTCAGTACGCTGCACAGCTTTTATCACTTTCCTTACTGTGCATTTGTTCACACACAATCTCATAATGTTTCACTTTGAGATCTCATGTAGCTGATTCTTCTGTAGGCTAACTAGCGATGTTGGTGCGCTAATGCAGTGAGCTGGCAGGAAGTTTATAATGTAGGATAGGGGATAGGATGTGTTAAGCTGGGCTGTGAGCTGGTTCTGATTTGAGTTGGTGTGGGGGGGACATGGCCTTGCCGTGTTGTCTGATGAGTCACGCATGTATGGCAGTAAATCTTCCTGCGCTGCTCTGTGCAGCAGTGCGTTACTGACCTTCTCATCCTCACTCACTCTGTTGTTCCCTCGAGCAAAGATCGGCTGAATGCTGCCTCCAGCCACAGACACTCCTCAGTGATACACTGCAGTACACCTAGAATACGACTTCACCAGTTTCACTGAAAGTCTGTCCTGCTGATTTTCTGCAACTAATGTTTCATTTTCTTTACTGATTAATCTGCCAATTTTTTTCTAGATTGATCTATTAGTCGATTAAATGTCCAGCGCAGTTTCAAAAAGTCCATGGTAATGTCTTTAAATTATTATTATGCTCATTCCCAGGTTCATATTTGTGTTTTGTGTCTCCACTGGGACATGTCTCCATGCTTTAATGTTCAAAAAGCTCTTTATTGTTCTCATACTGCCTGTGCTGCAGCACCTCTTTTCACCCTCTGTCTGAAACCAGAGCCCAGTCTGCTCTGATTGGTTAGCTGTTCGGCTCTGTTGTGATTGGTCAAATGCTTAGAGATGTCCCGCCCCTTAGCCTATCACGTACAATTTGTTGAAGCACTAGCCAATAGAAGCGCGAGGGTTACTTAGTGATGTCACTATGTTACGGAAGTGAACAAAGAAGTGGTTGAGAGAAGCTCCCTCCGGAAGGAATACAGGGATTTTAGCCTTTGCAGCTATTTACATGCACACAAACTTATATAACACACTACAGGGAAGGGAAAACCACAAAAAGGGTAGAAGAGCCTCTTTAAGTATCTTGCCATGTCAGTCCAAAACTCAAAAGATATTCTCTTTAATATAATGCAAAACAAACTATAGCAGGACATTTCCAAACTTGAAAGGCTCAAACTTGCATTTGCTGCAATTTTTGCATTGAAAGCAATTGATTATTAATCAATAATCAAAATTGTTAATTGATACTCAATGATGTGTATTTTCAGGTGGGTTGCTGATCATTATGTGAAGACCTGGTGTGAGAGGAACTTTTCCCTCTTGTCTCCTGAACTCCAGGCAGCCTGTCTAACAGCTCTAACTGAAACCATGGTGAGTCCCTCCCTCCCACAGTCATCAGCTGAACTGTATGCATGTAATCGCACAAATACCATCAACCCATTCTCCAGTGTTTTTCCACAGGAAGGAAATCCAAACGTAATCTAATCAAAGATGACCTTTATTAAATTCACAGTTATTAAAGACGGACTCATGTTGGAATATAATGTAGATGTAGACAGATGGGGAGTGAACCAGCCGTGTAATTGATAATTGAATTTCGGGTCTGTCTTTCATCACCATCTAAGGGGTGGAGTGCATTCTGTGAGTAAAGTGAGACAAGAGTACTATTGTTCAGTCTTTGCCAGTATTGAGATTCAGAGCTGGCCAAGAACCATTACACAATCCCGGGCCTCCCTCTACTGATCGATAGGTCCTGGGCAGGAGTAAAGACTGCTTTTATGGAGGGCTGTGTTCATTCGACTTGAGTTTTCACCCACGGTATAGACTGTCTTTAGCTGATAGATGTTTCCATTCAGACTGTGCAGAACGCAGTAACCATGCTCTGTGGCACTGAGCAGCTGATTGGCAGTCTCCCAGAAGTCAAGTGGGCCCAGCAGGTGAGGAGTCTCGCCACGCAGCTGCAGGAGGAGAGCCTGCACGTCATTGTCCAGCATCTCCCCGATGTAATCCGAACTCAGGCCTTTCAGGAGCTTCGCAGGGTAAGAGGATGCTGGAGCTGATGCTTATGCTCTCTGCTGTACTGTAACAAACATATTCAACTTAGGTTCTATGTTTTTTCTCAGAGGGAAGAGGTTACCCGTGAGCCCACGTTGTTGAAGAAGCTTTGTTCAGCTATCAGAGAGGGTGCCTCTGTGGACAACTGCTGTGATCTTTTCGCTGCTGTGTACCTCCTGTGTGGAGATGACGGGGAAGAGGACTCCCTCCTACAGCAAGGAGGGAGAAAACAAGAGGAGGTGAAATGAATCAATTTTTCTGTATTTCAAAAATGAACATCATACTTAGGCTGTGCTCACACCTGTTTGTTGTGCGGTTTCCATTTTAGTCCAGTTTGACTTCTGGTCTTCTTCCCAGACTCTGTTGTAATTTGAGAAAATGAATTAAGAAATCATGGTCTACTTACAATATTTTGCCATAGATTTGAACAACTCTTCACAACCACTAGAAAAGGCAAGTGAGGCTCCACTCCCAAACACAGTGCAGTGTAACTTCTTTCAGTCAAGCTTGTAATAAGTCACATTGAATCTTAAACACACTAGTGATACATTTGGTATGTTTCAACCCTGGATTTCTATCGTCCCCTCCAGAATTGGGCAAATACGCTGCACAATTAATTTGTTGGGGCAATTCCTCACTTTCAATGTGCGTTCACTAAAAGTACATGTTTTACCACAGACAGGCTTGTTGACAGAAAATAGCTCTATTAGATATACAATGATGGTGCAGTCTTGCTAAATACTGGATCCATTTTTGAAATTGTTGTTCACCTTTGTCACTTGGAGACAAAAACATGGGGAAATTGGGGCCAGGTTGAAAAATACTGAAGTAACCCTTTAAAAAGCCACAATGTTTAATATGTTCGTCAAATCATCCAAGCTACAGGTTTAACACAGCTTAAGCTCTCTGCTATAAATGTTCTCCCCCTGTCGGCTTGTCTCCCCTTCAACTCAATTGTAAGCTTTGTTCAATATCTATGAAGATAGTTTTAAATCATATCTGTCAAACCCTTAAGAGACTAACAAAATGTATTGAGTTGAGCAGGCAGGTTAAGCTCGTGAGATGACTTCCAGGGAAAGTGACCCGGCTGCTGAGTTAAAGCTCATTCAGCTCCCTGTAAATACGGTACAGTATGGCAGAATGGATTAGGCTGAGGGAGGCTGTGACGTGTGCCAACGGCCTTCACTAATCTGGCCGTGTGTGTGTGTGTGTGTGTGTGTGTGTGTGCTGCTGACGGGTGTGTGGTCAGTGCAGCCGAGGAGCTGGAGCTGGCTCCTCCCTAACCTCCCATCCCTGTTTTCATAATCAGGCGTGGAAACAGGAGAATGGGCATCAGCCACTGACATCACTGATTTCACTCAAGGGAGCTCAAGTGCATTCTGCAACGGAGACAGAGGGGGAGGGAGGGACAGAGAGAGGGAGGCAAAGGGAGGAGGGAGGAGGGAGGGGCATTTGTTGCCATGGTGAAAGGTTCTTGAAGCAGCTGCTGATTTGCCTGTGCTGTAGCGCACCCCTTTCCATTCTTCTCTCTCTCCTCTGTGTTACCGCCAGCCGTTCAGGCAAGAGATTTGTACGCTGCGCGCTCGCCTGTGGACCTTCCTGCTTCAGACCTTTTACGCGGTCCGCCACACGCAGGGATGGGAGACCCTTTCTACCAAACACAGAGAGAGGATACTAGCAGGTAAGGGAGGAAATCCTTGCTGTGAGCTCTCTTCTCTTAGTCACAGACAGAGATTCATGCTGCAGTGTGTGTGTGTGTGTGTGTTTTCTCCTCTCCCTTACCCAGCCTGGCGCTGCGTTGAAGCCGTGGCTCTGCATCATTAGAGATGAAGCAAAGCTCTACGTGCATGCTGGCTGATTTAATACATAATGGCTTTTTTCTACACAGCTGTCGAAGCACTCTTAACCTATTTATTGTCTATTTTAGCTTTATGTGAGCTACCTTTTCACAAGTCTCTGTGAGATGAGTATCGTTAACATGGCATTGCACCAGACACGCCATGCTTGTTTTTAAAGGGTGCGAGTGAAGGCTGGATTCCTGTCTTTGTGGGTCTGATTTGTGGCCCCCACAAATACAAATAACATACTGTTTCCTCACTGTTGAGCCAGCAGTGTGCTGAGATGCACTGCATGAATAATGTATGCAGCTGGTATCAGCCTGTGCCTATTACTGGTACATTTATTGCCACCGAAATCGGATTCCAGATCTTGCATGCAAGCATCACAAATGTATTTCAGTGAAAAGAGTCAATCTGGGTATTAAAAACAAAACATGATTAGGTTTTCAAATTGTTTCTGTTTTAAGCATAGAAAGGGCAGTGCTTTGCTTGAAATATTTGTATTTGAAATAATAGTTTGATCAATATATTAATGTAGTGTTTGTTTCCCAATTATCAAAGGGTAAACACAGAAAAGGACATTTGTGAATGTCTTGATTTGAATATATGATACATGGTTTTGCATGCAGAATACTTTCTTTTTGATGATCATTGCTCTTCCTTTGATCCTCTTTTGACAGATGCTATTGATAAGGGGGACAACCGGAGACTTGGTAAAAAGCCTGTATTCACTAGCTCACAGGTAACATTACCCTCCAACCATATATGTTAAATACATTAACATTTATATAAACTCTTTTTGGTGTTTCAGAAACTAACATTTTTTTTTGTAAATCAGAACTCTGACTCTAAGGATGAAAATGTACGATGTGAATTTATGAGGCAGTTTCATCTCTGAGAAATCCCTGTAAATGTGTTTAATCCCTGCTAGTCATTACAGTGTGGCCATCAGATGCCATATGTCATAAATGCCCCACCCTCGCAGCACAGAGATACACTATAACATTTGCTGCAGGGCCTCTGTAAACAGATGTATTGCTAAGATAAGCCTGGCTGAGGTGATCCACAGAGGAATTCAAGATGTTAGGTGTGAGTGGTTAAGAGCAGTAGAGCTCCTATAGATCATGAGAAGTGGTGTGATTCGGTGAAAACAAGCACTTTGTCTGTTTTAAGATATGATTGCTCATTTGTTCGAACCTGCAGATGATTGTTCTACTGACAAAAGCCAGTTTAGTAATTTGCTCAAGTTCACAAAGTGACACACAGAAAAAAAAGAAGCAAAATTCCTTCCCTTAACTTCTGATAGCAAATCAACTGTTTAGGATAGTCAATCAAGAACAGACTATATGAATTTTGTTTGTCTATTTAGTATTTAGCACAGACTATAGAAATCTCAACGACCGATGTTTAGATGATGTCATCCTTTTTTCTTGTCTTATACTCCAGTAGCTTATTGTAATCTGCTATAATGTTATTCAGTTTCATCAAACCACACTGTGCTTTGCAGCTTAATCATGTCTTACAGTTGCATGACTAATATGGTTATTTCTTTATCCTGCAGCCAAGGGTTGTGAAATGCCCTTCATCTGGACCTGAGAGTCCTCCTGTGCACAGGACCCAGAGGGTGTCTGAAAACACTACCTCTTCCTCCCGTAGTGCTGCGTCAGCCATGAAGTCTGATGGACTGGGGACAGCTAGCAAGCCAGGAGAGGGTCAAACATCCAAGGCAAAGAATGCAAAGAAGCCAGGGGAACGTACTGCAGCAGCCAAAGCAAAGACAGCAACAGCTGGAATACCAGTTGTCAACGGCACTGGAGCTGCAGGGGCCAGACGAGATGTAGCCAACAGCTCCAGAAGCTCTCAAGGGGTGAGAGAGCAGGAAAAGAAACCAAATCCAGGTGCACGGCCTAAAACATCTCCCCCGAGCTGCACATCTACAAGCCAGCCAAGTGTATCCAAGACTCAGAGGAGCTCGACAGGAAAGGCTGACAGCTCTGTTGGCACCTCCCAGGCTCAGCCCAGCGCCTCGTCCACATCAGGCAGCGCTTCGCCAGAGAACGGTGCCAGCAGCCCTCGTAATGACAGCGCAGGTTAACTCTCTTTATTCACTTCCTCTCATTTCCTCATGGTGACTGACACCAATTACAATGTTTGAGCTGAATGTGAATGCAGACTTAGTAGTATGATGAATTTGTGTTATGGCCAAGAGGGACTTTTGGAAGACGAGGGCAGGCATGTTGATTTATTAGCAAAGAAAGCAGCCTGCTGGTACCAGTGTACAAACTCTCAGCAGAACAGCAGAGGTTGATCACTCTGCACTTCCCGTAGAGGAGATATTTTTCTGATGGTTTAGGGAGGTGAGGTATTCTCCACTGATACAAGTGTTCAATGCTTGAGTTTGTCCATGTACCCCACACTGAAAGTTACTTGTTAACCGTCTCTGATGTCCGCTCACATACTCACAGCACATTACCCTACCCTGCTACGTATCCCTGCTACCCTGAAGATGATTTATTTAGGAAATCAAGGTTTAATATGTATCAGACTAAGTCTCTTTTGATTCATCTCAATGCCTGACACATTTTTTTCACAAAAATCATGCATTGTTTTCTGTGTTTAGGTGCGAAGCCCAAACACCAAACCAAGGCGGGGGTCAAATCCACACTGACAAAACCTCCTCAGAAATCAGATACAACGAAGATCAGCAGGTGAGCTCTTCCTTAATGGTTATTATCAGTGTGCTTTCTCGTCACTTCTTCTTTAGCTTCTTGTGTATTTAGTGAAATGTTAGGTGTAACGTTCTGCAAGTGCTTTCCTTGTCAACTTCCACATGGACGTTCTGCTTGTTGTGGGTCCACCATTAAATGCCATTCTACTGTTTAAGGCATTTAAGAACAATCTAACTCAAATGGAGTTAGAGATTTTCTTTTGAGTGTTTCTCAAGTTTCGCAAGTCAACAATCCAGCAAGCATTTTGGTTAATTTCGCCATGCTAAAAAAACTTCCAACTGGAGATATTTCTAAATATTAAACTGTGTTTTGCTTACCCCTCAGACTGTGTAGCATTCCATGTGTTTATGTTATATGTCAGACTTACGCAGCCCCAAGTACCAAGGCAGTGGAAAAAGCTGTTTTGTGATTAAAACAAATGTGGCCTATAAGAACTCAAAGGATGGAAAAGGGTCCTGGAATTTGACTCGTGACTTGTAAAGTACAAAACATATAACAGAATGACAAAAAAGAGAGCGTGAGAATCTAAATCCTCAAGTACAGCATACATGTCTGATATCCAGAAAACATCACCAAACAATGGAATTAGCAAATTATTTAAAACATTCAAACAAGAGCAGTGAATCAAACTGACTATTTCACTATGGCCAGGCCAAGTTGCAACATGAGCTCAAAGACAATATAACCAACTCCAGTAGCTGAAAGCATTCAGGGCCTAGAAAGCAAAACAGAAAACGGTCAGGAGGCAAAAGCAGCTGTGTAACATATTCTGACAAAACTTTAATCTGCCTTTCAAAGATGTTAAAAATATCCTTTTTACTAAAATTCTGCATCATTCAAACTGGGAGCACATCCATTTTGAACAGCCTCCCTGCAAAGAAACCATGTAAGTTAGCCAGAAAAAGCTGATGGCCTAACAAAAGATATTGTTGTTGCATCTTTTGATTGTCATCTTTTGTAAAGAAACAGATGGTGCAGGTAACAGTTAATCTATCTTGTATTCAACGTCTGGATTTGTGTGCTGAGAATGAAGATGCTCTGGAAGATTAAACTCCCCTCCAACCTCAATTTACGTAGCGAGAATAATCCTTTGTACATCGTGTATTTTTTAAACATGGCCCTGTCGTATTAGGTAATGTAGAATCTGTAAAACTGTCCTCAGTGAACTCACTAAAATGTCAGATAATATGCTCCCTGTTCTCTTGTTCCTCCTACACTTAGATTGAGTTAAAATCCAAGGAAGAACATCCTTCAGAAGGACAACAACTTGAAATTATTTGCCTTCATAATCAGTTCATGTCTCAGACGCTTGTCCTTGACAAAATGGGAAAACAACTCTGCTGCCCCCCGCTGGTGCTGAATATTAATCCATGATTTAATTTCTCTGTGACTCTTCTTATGAATATCTTGAAAGATGATGTGAACCATCATGAATTTAACGTTGCGTTTTTGTTTCCGTCAATCAATAGCAGTCCTATCAATAGGTCCAGTGCAAGAGAAAGTGCTAAAGTCAAGACTAGTGCAGCAGAGAAAGCATCTACAGGAGGGACAACAGCAAGAGCAGAAACCAAGGGAAGAGGCACACCAGACCATGGTGAGATGTTCAAAGTCTGCTTAATTTAAATGTCTGTCCATATACTGTACAAAGTACTAATGTTCTATTCTGTCTTTGGGTTAGTCTCCAAGCATGGATCCAAAAAGCCTGCTTCCCCGAGGAAAGAAGACAGCAAGGACGGGTTGAAATCCTCAGCACCAGAAAAAGCAGCCATTGAAGTTCAAAAAAAGAAGACCACAAAACCTGCTTCGGCACCTGGAGCCTCAGCTAAATCAAGTGCTAAACCACCAAAAGCCTCTTCGGCCCCCTCCAAGCAATCTTCAGTAGCAGCTGCCAAGTCCGGACCAAAGCCTACGGAGAAAGCTTCTCCAAAATCAGCAGGAACTTCCAAAACCTCACCTGCTACCAAGAAATCAGCAACTAAAGGAAAAGAGACAGTCAATGGCAAAGACTGTAAAATGGAGTCAGCGCCAACAGAAAACACTGGTGAAGTTACAGTGCATAAAGAGAGTACAGAGGTAGAATTCTCTGACCAGTCTGCAGCACAGCCAACAAACCAGGGTGAAGGGGATTTACTTAGCCAGCAACTAGAATCCAAGCAGCATCTCCAGAAGACTGAAATACTGTCAGAAAACACTAACTGTTCAGCTAGCAACACCCCTCATGTCAAATCTGCTAAGGCGGACACTTGCAAACAGACTGAAGGGAGTAAAGTGAAACCGCCCCCAAGCGGAGTCATCAGTGGAGGGCAAATTCACGAGGACGGCTCCAGAAATTGTCAGAGAGATAGCGAACGTCTCGTAGACACACCATGCAGCGTGTGCAGCACTGGCACCCCCTTAGAGGACTCCTGGAGTGCCGTCCACCATCAGGTCAGCCCCGAGTCTGAGACCTGCAGCACACACACCACCTCCTCCGACGACATCAAGCCCCGCTCGGAGGACTACGACGCCGGCGGCTCGCAAGACGACGACTGCTGCTCCAACGAAAGAGGCGTTTCAAAGTGCGGCACCATGCGCTGCCACGACTTCTTGGGTCGCAGTAGCAGCGACACAAGCACCCCAGAGGAGTTGAAGATGTACGAAGGCGGGGCGGGGTTAAGAGTGGAGGTGAGGCTGCGGGGGCGAGAAGCGGAGACCACTACCAGCGAGGAAGAGGGAGTGAGACAGCTTCCTCGCTCCTGGTTGCACCGAGACGAGCTTCCTGTAGAGGAGGAGCACTCCGAGGTGGAGGCAACGGTGACGGTGAAAAGCATCCCCGACCACCAGCTCTTCTCCTCTGAGGAGGAAGAGGAAGATGAAGAGGCGACGGAAGATGACAGATCTGAAGTCGAGGTGATTCCGGGGCAGGCCCCGCTGCCACCATCTGAATCCTCTCCAAACTTTCAGGGGATCATCAACCTGGCTTTCGACGATGAAGCCGCTGACCAGGATAACGATCAGGCCGACTACCAGACCACGGCTAACTTTCGCCGCTCAGTGTTGCTCTCTGTCGACGAGTGTGAGGAGTTGGGTTCAGAAGAAGGCGGCGTCCAAACGCCACCTCAGCAGCCCAGTGAGGGTGACGTTTTCGAGTCTAACTCCACAACTCCTCAGACCAATTTTGCTCCAACCAACAACCAACTGAACCACCTGAAAGGCCATCTTGAAACTGCAGACACAACGCATACAAAAACAGACGAGGAACAGGATGAAAAGTCCTCTGTGTTCCTTACAGAGATCCAGGCGGAGAGTAACGGAATAAAGTCTAGCGTCCCTCTCTTGGATGCTGACATGAGAGACCTGCCTCCCCAGGAGCGCCCATGCCACCTGGATCTCCGGCACACAGAACAATACAACGCAGGGCCGCGCAAAAATCACTCCAATCCCACAGAAAGCAAGAAAGCTGATTTACATCTAGACTTAAAAGAGCCTCAGCAGACAGGGGACTCTCCTGTACATGCTGCACAATCTCCAGCAGGTAATGTATGATCTACGGACACTTATAGACCCCAAATCCAAATTCACCTCCTATCCCCAAGGTATAGTTTATCCCTGCAAGATTCATCCTCCACTGCTCCAACTGCTAGACCTTACCCACACCCAACATGTACCTATTCCTCTTTCAGAAAAAGGATATAGTGTAGTAACTAAATATAAACACAAGTTCAAATTCAAATGAAATCAGTGGTCATCATTTCCACCCATTGATTGTGTAGCTGTTGTAAATTTGAATTTGCAACATCAATATCCTTTTAAAGACGGAGTTTGGTCTCATCATAGTACATTTAGCTGTACATTTGAAACAACTGAACTACCTGTAGTCAGAGGCATTTAGGCCTTGGTAAGTCAGTTTACACAGAAACAGGGGAAAGCAGTGTACATGTCACTCACACTGATGATATCAATTGTATATGTGACATTAAAAAGAATATGCCTTGTGACAAGGCCTGATAGATAGTTCTACCAATGCACTTTCATGTACATACAAATCAGATTGTTTTGGTTATTGTTGTCATTTCCTTTATGCAGTGGAATAGCAGTTGGCCTTTTTAGAGCCAAAGAGAATTTGACAAATTTGATGGAGCTTTAAATATAGTTTTGAAATCAATATATCGTTGCTAAATTAATTTAGTTCGTATTATTAAAATTGTGTTTCCTAAAAATAGAATACATTCCAAAAAGCCCCATCACTCAGGAGATGTTGCTCTAAAAGTTTTCTTCTGCTTTGTTGTAAAGGATAGATGTGTTTGGCTTTTCCTTCATTAAACCATTGTCATTCTAAGAAGGACAAACATATCTCCAGAAGCCCTTTTTTATTTGTCTTTTGGCTTCTCATCGATGGCCCCTTGTTTACAGCGATTAAAAGAACATCTAAAAATAACATTCAAAAGATTTGTTGATGTGAAAATGCTATATGTAGCACCTGGCATCAAGGTAAAACACACAAATAGATTAGCTGAACTGCCACTGCTTGTCAGAAAAAGGGGAACTTTTCCCTTGCATTTTCTTGCTGATCATCTTTATTTCTATTCATGAATGTACCTGAGTTTTGTGTTTGCTTTTTTTTTTTTTTTTTTTTTTTGCACACATGCATGCTTGAATTTAAAAAAAAAAAGTGTCATCCCCCTCTATCAACCATTTTTGTGTCTTTTTTTTCCCCACATTCCATTACCTCTTGTCATACCCAATAGACTTAAGTGTAGATAGACGTCCACTTTTAAAGAAGACTGTGGTTTGTTGTCTATGAGCTTTTGTTCAGTAGGTTTGTGTAGTGTCAGTAGCCTCCTCTGTAATGTATGTGATGACTCTTGATCAGCTCTCGTGGTCCTGCCATGTCTCTCTTTCTTCACTATCATATTTAGAAAAATAAATCCTGCTGCACCTTTACTGAGGGTATATTCCGATGCAAACATGTCAATTACTTTGTTTTTAATATCAAACAATGATCCATCTTTTGCCTTTCTGGAATTGTACAAAAAATTGAAAACACAAAGAATGTGAATTGAACTTGGTGGTGTGCCATCGTTATGTGCTACTAAGTAAAGCACCGTTTGCTTGCATTTTAGGTTTTTGTGACAAGTCTGTTCATTACGTCTGCCCGTTCAATGACCTGCACGTAAATCTCAAAACATATCACTGTTAGCTACTGACACATGCAAAGTTCACTGGTGCTGGCGATGCATGGCTTACTTTGTTTGAAAAGGTGGATAAAGAGATGCATTCAGATTCCTCTGTGCATTACCTTTAAGGCAACTGTATTCACCTACTGTGGCATCCATATTTTGAAGTAATGATGTTTCAAATGATGACTTCATAATTCTTTATAGTGTTGCCATTTGAACAACCATATTGTGACCATCAACATCACTGCTTTTATAATGTTTTGAACTTCACTATGGATTATCTTTTAAGTGAAACAGTTGCATTAAGGGTAAACATTTAGTCATCACTGTTTTATCAAACTAGGCAGTGACTAGCCTCTGAAATGTGAAGAAAAAGGAGTGAATCAGTTTGTCATTTTGCAGTATTGTCAATTGTTTTTAGGGGACAATGGTTGTGACAGATCGGGTCAAACCTGCAAACATGACCGCCGACCATCCAAAGCACTATCTCCCATTTACGAGCTGGATGTTGGAGAAGCCTTCGAGCAATGCTCGGAAAAGGACAGGAATGTTAAACTCAAGGCAGAGCAAGAAAAGCAAAGAGAGGACGATGAAAAAAGCAATGAGTTTGCAGAGCGGGACTGGAGCATGCTCAGGCAGCTCCTCTCAGACCACGAGTCCAACCTGGGAATCATAAACCCTGTGCCTGAGGAGCTAAACCTGGCCCAGTACCTTATCAAGCAGACTCTGTCCCTTTCACGTGAATGCCTGGACTCTCAGGGCTTCCTGTCCCCAGAGAAGGAGACCTTCAAACGCTGGGCGGAGCTCATCTCGCCCATGGAGGACTCCTCCACCAGCATCACAGTAACAAGCTTCTCCCCAGAAGACGCTGCATCTCCTCAGGGGGAGTGGACCATCGTGGAATTGGAAACACATCACTGACTGCTCACACAGAGGAGAACCTGCCGGACAGTTGTCACCTCTGTGAACGTTGAACCTCTAAATATTAACTTTGTCTTAATTTATTCTTATTTATAATCATATGCTGTCTCAAACATTTTCATCTTTTTTTTTTCTGGAATCTGCAGAACTCTGGACTTTGCAGCAGTTTATTTTGCATTCCCCATCATGCCCTCAGTGGACAGTTTTTTGACACAAACGGGATGTTATGCATGCTAATATTTTTTGTATGTCTGACTGTTTAATTAATGTTGCTTCACAGCTCTAGAAAGAATAGAGTAAGGAAACAAATATATTTTTTCTCATGGCAGTCTTCTGATAATATGGTTGACTGAAGTTTCTTAAAGAAAAAAATAACAATGGCCTACTGGCTTGCATTTAATGTCATATTGAAAATAAAGATTTGTGTTTATTGAAAAATGAAAAGTGTTGGTCACTGACAAGTCACAGAAACGTATTATTTTGTTCAATGTTACCTGGGTGCACTGCACAGATGTAATGTGTTTACTGGTTGGGCTTGATTATGTTATTACTTACACTTGTGCTTATCATGCTATGAAATAAGCACATAATGCACACAGGTATCCCAACTGAATTACCTAATAATAGTAAAAAAAAAAACGAAATTATAAAACAATAGAAGGTGCCTTTACCGTTAGTATTTGTTATTTCTCGTCTCAAAAACGTAAAAGAAAGGTTTTGAAATAGTATCGCAGCGCCTTCTCGTGGTTCAATACACTGACATACAGTCTCTGAATACTGCGACCGTCTCGTGCGAATGGACCGCGAGGACATTCCAGAAAAGACGAAGCCTCATTAACCGCTCTAATATTTAGACTTTCATTGAGCAGTGGGTTATGGCGACACACACAGAAACAACTCCTCAGTGGAAAACAACGATTATAGTCAGCACTTCACTTCAGGTAAGTGATGGGTTAACTCCTGAGTAGTCAAACATTTATTTTAGACTTTAGTGTCAGATATTGGTAAAATAAATAGATAACGTGAAGAATATCGGTTTGCTAGCTATCTAGCTAGCAAAGCAATGCCTAATACAAAACGCAAAGTGTTGGTTAAGATAACAAATTTGACTTATTTAACTTTGTCTGGTTTTAAACAACTTTAGGAAATACATGTATGTAATTACCTGTATTTGTTACACCAGAATCATGACACAAGCAGGATGCTAAGCGCTCAGCCGCACCGAATCAGGTTTTCAGACGGTGTCGAGTCGGGAGCCTTCATCTTCCCTCTGTCAGGTAAACCTGCTGTCAGCTCTGCTGCTGGTTAGATAACCCCCTTATCTTTAAACCGACCCTATAGATCCCCTTTAATACACCTGCCTTACAGTTACACTATCAAACCCAGTAACGCTATACAATATTAAGTTTCAGTAGTGTAAAGTAAATAAGTAGATTTACTCAAGTACTGTACTTAAGTACAATTCTGAGAGACTTGTACTTCAGTATTTCAATGAATGCTACCTTTAGTTACTTTGCAGATTTTGATTAATAATGTGAAATATAAGCGACAAACACTTAAGACTTTAGTTACACCTGGAGTAAATTCACAAGCTACTCTCCGGTATAACATGTATTTAAAACTAGCTGCACCTTTACCAGTTTTGATAACGCTTTAATGCATCAATAATTATATAAAAAAACGTATAATATATATTATTTAGAAATGGGCCAATCTTCATAATGAGTACTTTTACATTTGATATTTTAAGTATGTTTAGATGCTTATACTTTTGTACTTTTACTTGAGTAAAAGTGTTATACATTCATAACACTTTTACTAACCCTTTACTAACCCTTTAACCCTAACCCTAACCACATAACACATGCATGACTTTTACTTGTAACAGAGTATTAATACACTCTGGTACTTTTACCTAAGTACAAGATCGGAGTACTTCTCCCACCTCTGTAAAGTGTCTTTGAGTATCTAGAAAAGTGCCCTATAAATAAGATGTATTATTATTATTATTATTATTATTATTATACACAGAAGCCACTTACACAGGCTGAACTTGGGAAACAAATTACCACAAATATTTGTTTATAATATGTAATGGAAAAGGTCTCACAGTAACATGTTTAGTTTAATACATTTAACATTCTCATAATGTTCTAGGTACTGCATTTCTTTTGCTTGACCCTCAAGACCCCTTGGAGCATTGTGAGGAATCTGGACTCATTGAGAGGATAAAGACGTTTGTGCAAGTACACCGGAACAGCTTTCTTCTTCTATACGCCCCCTTTAATGGGAAGAAGGAATTGGAAATATTGTCGGTGCTTCAAGACAGGTAGATAAATAGCTGTGTTATGTCTTTCCCAAGTTGTAACCCCCTTGTTGTGCTTGGCTGGCACGTATGTAGCTGGTAATATAGGCATTGAGATTCTGACACTTACATTATTTGCATCTCTTTCAGATTTTCTGCCAGCAATCTCAGGATCCTGCCTGTGCGAAACAATGCTGAGATCGTCAAAGGAATGTTGACTATTGCCAAGGTAAAGACAGAGGCAGCACACAACAGTTATTTGGTCAATGTACATTATAAGTTAGACAAGCTGTTTTTCGCCTTGTGATATTTGAAGTAAGCCAAGGCTCATCTGTCTGCAGGCCACCAGTAAGCCCCATGTAGACAGTATCCGCGACCGGATGTCCCTGGCTCGGGCTCACATCATTGAAAACAATCCTGTGTGGGAGATGCTGAGAGACATTCTATGAGCTCACCATATGATTCAGCATTGTTTCACACACTTAACACTTGTGTTGTTTTATTTGATGCTAACTAGTACACGCCTTATACAAAAGCACATTTAAATCCATGTTTATCACAGTTTGTTCTATTTTTACATTCTTTTTGTATTGGTCAAGCAGAGCACATCAAATAAACCTTCATAGAAATATCCCAGCAGTCAGAAGTGACACCTCAGTTTAGTTTTTGGCTCTTCTGCTTTTCATCTGTGATCTCTTCAATGCGGAATATAAGACTCTCCATCAGGTCAAATGTGACCAAAGCACTCTGCAACACCTGTGACACACGAGAATAGTCAGATTGCTTATCCTACAAAGGTTCAAATCCAAATCATTATTAATAGGAAAGACTGTTTCTGTACCTGGTGCTGGACCTCTGGGGACATATTTGACATTTTCTCCTTTTTCACCGTTATGCTTTTGACTAATCTGCTGGATCCTGCAGCATCTCTGGCTTCTGGGGCGGAACATAGAGATATTCCACAGTGTATTTTATCACCTTCTATGCAAGGTTATTTCAACGTCATTTTGTTACACAGATTAGGAGCTATACTGTACCTCTGGCTTTTATCTTTTGATCCTGCCGCAGTGCCTTCAGTTCAGCAGTATAATATCCTCTTGATATGCTGATGCACACACGCAGCATTTTTAGGTATTCATCTTTGATCCTGCACAGCTTCTCCCACACAATCTGAAGGTAGGAGGAGACGATCATCAGCTTTGGGCATTTACCAGGCAGGAGAGTAGTCTTAAGTAATACATTAGACTGACTTACAGTGCTCCTCAGGTCTGTGTCCCTGATAAGGAGGTAGCGTAGAAGATTCAGACTCTCCATTATCCTGGATACAAAAGAAGACAGGACTTAGTCTGCTTAATGTGTACCAGTTCTCACAATTACAGATCTCTCTGTCTTTCGATCTCTTTTGGAAAGCCAAAATGTCTATAACTTCATCACATCCAAAATAAATTGTGTCACGAATTATGCCTAGACTCTGAATTTAAACATAAACAGATCTGTCCATATGTTAAACTATTCAATATCACTCACTTGTCCATACTGTTAAGCAGATCTGTCTGAGCCCCTTGTGGCAAAGACAACACCAGTCCCAACAGCGGCAGAAGCTCCTCCCCCAGAAACCATTTATTGGCATTACCCTGCTGGAGGAGAGTGAAGGATTTAACACCTTCAAAAAATGTCACCAGCTGAAACACTGAATTAGGTTATCATGAATAAGCATGAATACAGCAGCAGGAATTTCTAAAACATTGCTTAACATACTATTATGATGTTTGTGAGACTTTGTTTATCTTACCTTAATAGAACATTCAACCTGATTCCTGATGTTCTTTACTATGTAACTCTCCACTCCTGCATGGTGGCTGGTTTTCAACATGCACCTGCAACAGAAAATATAACCTTTGTTATTAGACGTCAGCAAATGCAGAAAATAATCAAATAATACAGCAAAGACTAAATCAAACATAAATCCGATTTCTTCCCTAAAATTGAGGTACATCAACTTTTGCAATAGTTTGACACTGGTGAACAATTGTGACGTATTGATTTAAAACTACAAACAATGTTTACATGAGATCACTAATGGGTGAACAACTACAATTGTATCCAAAAAATAGTATGAAAACAGCACAAATGTGAATATTAATTATTAGATTATCCATAAATATAAATATAGATATTTAGTCATTTATTTTACATTTGAATATGTGCTATTGAAACATGAACATTTGGTATACTGTTCCTTCTCTAATGATTCTCTCACCTGAAGAACTTGTGCTTTGCTTCAGAATCTAATTTATCGATAAAAAGTTGTAAAACCTGTAGTCCCGTTTCTCTCTGGGGAAGCAGCGATCACACAAAAAAGAAAAGTAACCACGTCATTGTGTTTTACAGTACCACAGATATACAATGAACATCCTAATCAAGCATTGTTGTTTACTCACCAAATGCTGCATTGGGCAATCGGTTAAAACTTGCCGCAGGTTCTGTGAATTTCAGCACAGCACAAGTCACTGATTGGTCAAAAGTACCCAAATAGTTGATTAAACACACAATATGCTATTTCTTCCATGAGTCTTTCAAATAAAACACAAACAAAAGAGTGTTGTGAAGTAAAATACTCCGGTTAAAATATATGTTTAAAATGACCCAGATCAAGACACTGTATATTCAAAATGTAAATGTATGAACACTTCTGGCAAACCGCAATAATGCTGAATCATGCTTTTAGGGCATACAAAGTGTTTACAGGCGGCCAAAGGAAATTGAACATTGATTAAAATTAAGAATTTCTCTGTGATTGAAAATGGTTTCAAACATTTGGCAATATGTAACAGCTCAAGAAAATATATAACACAGGTCTAGTTGTTATGGATATATATACATATGTAAGTACGGTCAGCCAGTCAAAATCACAACACCCCTGCAGAAAACCTGCTCCTGAGTGAAACCTGAGGCTGCTTGTCATACCTGTGGTGCACTATAGAAGCTCTTCAGATCCTGTAGGCTCACCGGAAGGCTGTTGTCCTGCACATTTTCCAAGCTCTTTTCATACAGTGCCTGAGTGAAAATACACAGTTATGTCCATGAAAAACAACCATAGACTATTTTCTACTTTGACTTATTACACCTCTAAGACTGACTGCATGTTGTTGTGGCCTTACCAGTCCTTTGAGCACGTGTGATTCCTTTTTGCTATCGATGAAACAAGATTACAGATCATTAAAAAAACAAACGAATTGAAAAGCATTACTACATTCAGGTCTTACTGTACTGACAGCTTACCTACTGAGTAGTTGATTGATGTATTCCATGTTGCATTGAAGAACAAATACAGGACTGGAACAGCAGGAAACAATACAATGTCAATTGTTTGTCACAGGACAGTCAAAATGGACAGGACTTCTTGGTGACTGTCAGTGAATGCATCATCAGTGTGACCACTATATGGTTTTTCAGTGTTTCACCTGAATACTGCTGGAAAGCTGTCGATGGTGATGAGCTGGACGAACAGTAAATAAGCCAGACACGCTCTGGACTCCTTGGACTCACTGCTGTCCGTCTGGGGGCTTTTCTTCAGAGGGCTGAAGAACAGGAGCTCTGATAGAGACTCTTGGATTGCTGGTAGTGTGACCTGCAGTGATGCACAGTGACATTCAATCACGACACTCATTGTTTAAATGCTTTCCCATTTATGGAAAACTTGCTCTTACCATTATCTCTGTTGCAAAGAGCCACAGTGAGGATTTTCTGTCTCTGTTCAGTTCAGCCTCAAGCAAAGGCTCCCTCAAGCTCCGCATGCAGCTGCAGAGAGGCATTAGCAACAGTGGTTTCATTTTGCCTATACACCAACATGTGTATTTTTAACGTGAGACACTATAGGCCAACATGTAGTTGTTTCAATGCACTGTTTACAAAACATATATTTAAAGGCCGCTTTCTAAGTTCTGTTTTTTTTATTATACCCTGAGCAAGAAATGACTTTACATTTCTGCTTCAAATTGGCAGATATTTAAATAATGCCAAACTTGTACATTTAAACATAACATTTTAGAAAAGTGAAATTACCAAAAAATACAGTTAGTTACATGAGGTACACCATTCACCTGTAGTGTCTTATCTCAACATAATGAAACAAAACAAATGAACTAAAACAGACAACAATGAACAAAGATAACTGCATTGATCAATTGTAATGATAAATAAAGTACATTCATCAAAATACAAACAGAGAAGAAACATTTTGTTAACTCTGCCTTTACCACAGCCAAACGGAGAAAAAAAACGTACAACTTGAGAAGCTCGGTCCTTAGCTCCTCATCCTCAGAGGTGGTGACGGAGCTGCCAATCTTCCTCTTCACCTCCTCTACGAAAGGCTTTGTGAAGTTGGTCAGGGCGTTGTAGCAGCGACACAGACCGTGCTCATCCTCGTCCTCCTGCTGCGAGCTGTAAGGCACAGGCAGGCGGGACAGCTGCTGCTGCAGGGCGCGCAGAGCAGAGCCCAGCCTGGCTGCCTTGCTGTCCTCCAGATGCAGCAGCACTGCAACACACAGGACGATGTTTGCATTAGTGTACAGCAGGGGGAGCCATACTCCATGAATACATCAAGAGATAAAACATATACTCTTTACCATAAGCTGCCACAGGCAAAACTATTGCAGTTGTGCAATAAACCCTCCCTTCATGAATGTTATAATGTCTAGCTTTTGTTGAAAGATGTTTATGGTGATTTTGGAGGCTGCTGTTGAGTTGTATTGCATTATGGTGTTTCAGGTGTTTCTATTATTTCGGTCACATAAATCCATGTGGGTAGGCTAATAACAGAAACATCCCTTCTAATGAACTGGCACCTGAGTACTACTCCATTACGCTGCATGATTGATAGTGTTACCATGATTATTTTGTGTAATACACGTACAAAAAATAGACATTTTGACCATTATGCCTCACTTTAAAAACGTTTTCAAGCCTGTGAAATTAACAATGCCTGCATTTTCCCCAAATGGCTGAAACATTCATTTTTGAATTTGCCATAAGACCATACTATACATTGTGTCTTTTTTCTTCAGGACATAAAAGTGTGATTCTTTTTGCATGAATGATCCAAACCAGTGTAATATTTAACCTTGTAAAATTAAGATTATTGACTGACTATTGTGATAGGACACCAACTCCCTTTTTACAGGTGTCACATTTTGTGAAATTTAAAGTTTTACTGTAGTGTTTTTTTTTTGGAGCACTACTCCTCGGAGGGTTGCGCATGTGTTAGTAGGTAATAACATCTCCTGAGACTTGTGTTACCTGTTTGAAGATGTGGTAGTAGAGTTAATATGGTCTCAGAAATGGCCCCTGGATCAATGTCTTGAATCAGTTCCAGCAAGCTGTGCATGAGTTCATCCGGGCTGCAAGTCTAAACATCAGAACAGACGTTAAACCTACGTATAGGAAGCGT